TCCTTGTAATCACAATGAATTAAATCTTTTTCATGTATAAAATATAATGATTCACATAAAAATGTAGAAATATTGATGTAAATGCTTTTAAAAAAATCTCTGGGTTACGATTGCATCTACGTCTTGCGCTTTGCAACGAACGAACATTTTTCTTTTGTACGGCATGGTTGTTCACTATTCTATTTTGGAGCCCTGTTGAAACACGTTAGACATACTGAATAACAATTCAATAACACAATAGATTATTTCTATTGATTAGCAAACAATGTTTAGTTCTGATGTAAATTACTGACCAAAGAAATTTATCTTTGAGACATGTTAATTAAACTTCGTTGGGACCGGTGTTGGTCGTTAAAACTATTTTGAGACTAAATCAAAATTCAAAATTAATTCCGACTTATGGCGAAACCTTTTGGCTTTCGCACAATTTTAAAACTATAGTTTGAAAATAATTGGAACCACATTGAAACAATTGGGATGCACAACACTGCATATACGTTTCACGAATTAATTGTTGACAAAACAACAAAGGAATTTTAAATTAATAATATTAATAGAGAATTGTTATTCGCACATCACATTTTTGCTATTCGTACCCCTCCCGTGACTAAGACAATACATCATCACATTTAAAGCCATTCATTGGTCACATTACTACACTTAGTCACGGGAGGGGTGAGAATAACAATTCCCTATTAATAATGTTAATATTAATATTTATATAATTTAAAATATGGGCGCGAATATGTTTGTTAATGTTGTATAAACTTACGAGATAAATCCTGTTTTATTTCCAAGATAATCAGTTAAATAATACACATGTGGGGGATACCTGCCTAATTATTGTTGTTAAACAAAAATCCTATTGGTTGATTTTTTATTTGGAAAAAATAAAATATTTTAAATGGGAAATTAATGATGTAAAAAAAAGATTCTGATCTTTCTGATATCGAAAAAGGGAATAACTTAATAATCATCATCTCGGCTTTTTTATTTGTTGCATAAAGAAGTCTTATATAAAAGAAACTTTAATTATGCATGTACCCTAATAGTTATGTATTAATAATATAATATGTGAGCGAGTGAGTACCTCATTAGTTAGTTCCTTTTCTCTCCCGCATTAATTAATATTAATTAATTTTTTCCTTCTACTTCATGTTTTATCAATAATTATTTTTCTTTTTCACTTTATTCTTTTCTTTAACATCCTGAAAATCAAAAGTATTTTATGAATATGTCTCTAGCTTATTGTAAACCTATTCACTCGATGTATATTTATCCTACTTTTTTCTTTGCATTTTCTGCATTTCTTAATTTTGCATATGCTCAAACTCCAGGTATACAATATTGTTACGTTTTTATATAAAAATAATATATTTAAAACTTTCACCAAATAATGATAATATTAATATTTATGGTTTGTCATTAGGTGTAAACAACACCAACCCCGACCCTGATCAAAATGCAACCACAACAGATGAAGGATCTGATTCTTGCAGTGATAATGGTTATATAGCTGAAGAATATAATTTAAGCCTTCATATTGCTTCATTTTTTATAATTCTTGTAACAAGCTCAATGGGTAAAAATAAATAACTATTTATTTGATTCTCTTGATATTAATTATAACATTATTATTAATTATTAACATTTAATAACACATTAAATGCTAGGTGCTTTTATTCCGGTTATCGCTGATAGAAGTTCCAAATGGAGGGTTCCAAAGTTAGTTTCTTTCTGTAAGTATAGTTAAAATATAAACATTCATATATTGTAATTATATAATATTAATCTATGTGTTATTGTTATTTTTGCAATTATATTTAGCCACAAAACATTTTGGTACTGGTGTTATTCTTGCAACTGCTTTTATTCATGTAAGTAATGGCCAAATGAGAAATCAATCCAATATTTAATCATTTTTTTAAAAAAAATTTATCTTAATTTTCTATCTAGATGATCCCCACAGCATTTGAGGCATTAAGCGAAGACTGTCTTCCAGAAATTTGGCATAATTATGCATGGCCAGGTGCAATTTCTATGATGGCAGCATTATTAGTTTTTTTCATAGAATATTTGTCCACAAATTATACTGATGAATTTGATGATAAAAATAAAGAAATTCTCCCAAGAAATGACAATGATACTAAAGGAACTACTGAGATCATTAATATCAGTCAACCAAATGGGACTTTAGTTGTGCTAACTAATAGTTCTCAAACAATCGGTGTAATTGTATTAGAAGTTGGCATTTGCTTTCATTCAGTAATAATTGGAATAGCATTGTCAGTTGCTAATGGAACTGAGTTTATCTCTTTATTATGTGCTTTGGTTTTTCACCAGGTAAGAATAAATTAATATATATATATATATATATATCTTTCAATAATAATTTCTAAATATGTTTATTATTATTAAAGACATTTGAAGGTTTGGGACTTGGTTCAAGAATTGCAGCATTAAAGTTACCAGAAGGCAGCTTTAAACCATGGCTTATGTCATTAGCTTATGGTACTACAACTCCACTTGGAGTAGCTATAGGTTTAGGTATACGTGAAACATATAATCCATCATCGTCAACTGCTCTCATAGTACAGGGAGTTCTTGATGCAATATCTGCTGGTATATTGCTTTACGCTGGATTAGTTGAATTGCTCGCAAGTGATTTCATTTATGGTTCCAAGTTTCGAAACTATCATGCCACTCAAAAATTATATGCATTTTTTCTTTTGCTTCTTGGTGCTGGAATGATGGCTTTGATTGGTGTGTTTATTTATGATTTTGTTTATATTTTTTTTATTGCAATGTTTTCAAAATTGTAATTCTAATATCAAAAACTTCAATATTTAGGATATTGGGCATAAAATCTTTCAATTACTTGCTTTCTTAGCCTTTTCCCCTCACTAGTGCCATAATCTGATTAAATTATTTTCATTATTTTATATTTTTTTTTCTTTTGTTTGCATAATTTTTTAATTAGATTGTATTTTATGTGTAAATTATTATTAATCATCATCTCATTTTTTTTTTTTTTCTTCTAAAAAAAGTAAATATCACTCAACTGTAAAAATAATAACTAAAAAACTCGTTTTAGCATGAATTTAATTAAACAATGTTGGTTTAACTTTTAGGGCATTTACCTAATAAGATACAAGGATTTTTACAACCGTCATTATATCATTGTAAAATTGTTAATGCGGTTGGAATATCTTCCACTTGGTTGTGCTCAAAAAGATAATGATGAATGAACCTGAAAGTGCCTTTATTGTATTGTCAAGCTTTTTTATAAAAATATTTTAGATTTTAAATTTTAATCTCTATTTGGACGCAGCTTTAAAAATCAATCAGTTGGGTGGTTTATAAAAGATTTTTTTACATTACAATGATAATAAAATAACAATTACTATTTCTTATATGGTAGGTGTACCGCAGAAATAGGTTCCATACATAATAAATCTTCTCCTTTTGTCCAATGAAAATGGGTGGCATCGAAGAAGGTCTCGTTGAACTCAAAAATTTGAACTAATGCTGAAAAAAGAGCAAACGAAAATCATAAAAAGATTTTAGAATAATTAGCTAAAAATAATTTACAAATAAAATATGCTTTAAAATGTTGTTTTTTTTTTATTGCAAGATAACGTTTGAGATAAAGAGCTGTTTGAACAGGCTATATATACAATCAAATAAGAATATTAATTCATGGATTTTTCACATATATTTTTTATTATATATTACGAAATGATTGCATCATGTATATAGAGTATTAACTTGACATAATTGCTCCCATTTTCTTTTTTTTTAATGGGCTGAGGTCTTAAACAAATATATGTTTTAAATGATTATCTCTATAAAATCCACCGAATCCAAGAATTGGAGCATGATTAAAAGTATTTTAAAAAGAGAACATACTCGCCCTATGTATTTAAATCAGCTGATATTCGGTCACTTGAATATTATCAAGAAATTTCCCAGTAAAGAAAAAAACCCTGAGAAGTTGCCTAATAAGAAAATAATATGTGACAGAAGTTAATAATAGACAATTATGTTTTGTTGTCTTTTTTAATCCTTTTACCAACATAAATGATAATAACTATTGTACAAATATAGTTTTTCCTTTTTTGGATATTTTTTGATAATTAATATCATTTTTACTTATTTCAAATATCAAGATAGCTTACCATATAATAAGTCAAGGTACAATGAAAACTATGAGTTTGCGCGCAATACTTGCCATTTTAGTCATTATTATTATTTATTATTTGCCATTGCAATGTACAATTATTAATTATTAGTTTCTCGGACATTTGCGCCAAATTTTCTGTTTGGTTGAAATTTGTAAAGATCTCGGCCAATAATTTACTCTTTGATAAAAATTTTTAATTGGACCTTCACCATTACGTGTCACGCGAACCTGTGATTTATCAAGTTTTTCGAAATCAACAAAATTTCAGGTTCACTAATAATATCACCAATTACTGAGCCCAAACTAAATTTGGGGATCTTATTGGAGATTACGGTAAAGTTTTTATTAAATGTCTAGAGGGTCTTTTCATCGGGTGGAAATTCAACGCCGTTTGTACGTCCGAATAGACCAGCTGATTCGCCTATATCATTTATAATATCATCATCATCTATCAATGTTCATGTGTTATATAAATGGACCTTTCCATCTGGAACGCGGTCCACTTTGGTAATGCTAAATTATTTGATTGCATCATTCTTTTTAACCTTGGCAATAAACAGAGATATTGATACGATCGTTTGTCTAGAACAATTGTAAAAACCTGATGCTTGCGATATCACTGACTAATGCATTTCTGGTTAGTTTAATCACGTGAAATTTTTAACTAGCAATTTCGAATAAAACGAATCATTCAAACAATATAAATAATATAACTGATGTAATGGTATATCTAATTTGAAATTTTTTTCTATATAGTCCTTGTAGCGATAATAATAGTATTAGTGGCAGAAGTAATTGACATTATTCCTTTTCTTGTTTTAGTCAATTAATAATAATAGTTGTAGTGGTTAGTATTTTTTCCCTTGTGGGTAAGTTTTTTTTCTACTAGCAAATAGTCATGATAGGGTTTCTGTTCGAATGTGTTTTATTCATGAATATTTGAATTATATTGAATGCTTACTCAAAATAAAATTCGAATTAAGATTAGTTGAGAATTTGTATTACGAATAGAAACTCTAATCATAAGTCCCGCCCAAGCCCACCCCCAAAAAAAGTAAAGATTGTTACTCTCTAGAGTAGCTGAAAACTCTAGTAGTAGCAAGCATTACACAGAATAATTATATATTAATATACGGATTATTGTATTTATTTCTATGTAACATCTCTGTGCTAATAATACCAATTAAAGCTCCTCACGAGCTGGCTTGCGAGCCAAAAAACTTATTCAGCTTGTGAGGCTACTAAGTTATTTGGCTTGCGAGCTGGCTCATGCGGAGCCTTAATACCAATATTTATTTACAAAAGTTTTAGAATAATAATATGGACATGGATAATTTCTACGATGGATTACCTCAGGTCCTGAAGAAATGCGACTTCACTGAGGTTTAAAAAAAAATTCTGGGCTAAAGATCTTGATCAGAGACATTTGAATATTTAACAAGATGTATTGGAGCTGTTATTTATTAACAAAACCCCCTGGCAAAGAAAAATTCTTTAAAGAATCTGAAAAATAGTAATTTTGTAACTTTTATTATAAAAGAAAGTCATCAAAAAAGTAAACTAAATTGTTGATGAATTCTTTATGAGAGTAAATTTACAATAAAGTACAGCACTCATTATATTTACACTCATTTCATTTCGTACAAAATAACAATATTTCATAAAGTAGAAAACCCATGTGGATAAGAAAATATTTGCTGCAAAAATAGCCAAGTAAACAAATTGCTGAAACTTATCATGAAGAGATCGATAATCTTTTCACCATTCTACAATATTGTCATATCCACCATTATATCAAGACAATCCTTACACCACTTTGACAAATTTATTGAATCGCACGTAGTGCCAGCAATAATAGAAAAAGCACCCATTTTTAGATGTATGATACCAGAGTATATAAAATTCATCATACAGCTAGTAAAAGTTTAGAAACTAGTTTACAAATTTAGAACACCCAACATTCTCGGCAAAGAAATGGAATCTGATCCAGGTTCATTGGATCTAAAATTCTTAGAATCTGAATCTAGATCCTTTAAATTTATAATAAACTTGTTATTATTAATTTGTCAGTTAAATTTGTGTCAATCATATTGTAATAATATTGTTTTTTGACATGGTCGGAATTAGCATACAACATCAGGAAAATTATGTATTAATTATCCAATTATGAAACATGCGATTCTGAATTCGATAATAAAAAAATAAAAAAATAAAAAAATATGAAAACAAAGAAAAATAACTAATTATCTAACCATCAACAATTTATCCATAAACTACTTATTATCATTGTAATTAATTAATTAATTAATAATCACATTCAAATTAATAAATTTCAATTAATTAACTATTTAATTTACCTTATTAAAATTATATTTCATAATTTAATAAGCTATCATTACTTAAATTCAATTTAGCAATTTCATCATTTAAATTTAATATTCTACTTGAATGATATGCTAATGGATGTGATTTGTGAACACTTTGTGAATTACTAATACTACTATTATTATCACTATTATTGTTGATAATTTCTTGTAGTTGACTATTAGCAAAGTCACAAAGCTCTCTAATAGTTGGTCTTTTAGATGGATCCCCATCCCAACACTTCTGCATCATTTGTACACAATCATCAGGCATTCCTGGTAATATTGGTGGTCGTAAACCTTCACATATATTAATCACTAATTCACAATTATGAGCTACATCATCAAATGGTGGATGTCCTGCAAATATTTCCCACATTAACATCCCAACACTATAAACATCTGTTTCTTTTGTGTGTTTTTTTCTTTTAAATAATTCTGGTGCAATATATGATACAATTCCATAAATTTTATTTGATAATTTCTCATCAACTGGCCCACATAACCCAAAATCTGTGATATAACAACTACCTCCTTGCAATAATATATTACCACTATGTAAATCACAATGAATTAAATCTTTTTCATGTATAAAATATAATGATTCACATAAGTCACTAAAAATATTAATTCTATCTTTTAATGTTAAATTTGAATGATTTTTTTGTATATAATCTCTTAAATTTCCCTCTGGATGATAATTAAGAACTATTGCATAATTTCCATTTTCTGGAAATTTAGTTATACCATAACAATTAACAATTAAATTTGCTTTAATTTTACAATAATTTAATGCCTGAAATTAATAATTAATTATATAAATAAAATCAATTAATTTAAAATAAATAGTTTAATTTAGTCTATTTTAAATGAGAACAATTACCTCATCAAAAAAAGGTTTTCCTGGATTATTTAAATTATTTAATGATTTTAATACTACAAGATGATCTCCAAAATAACTAAACTCCTTTTTATTTTCATCATAATCATCAATAGATCCTCTTGTCCATCCAGCAGTATAAATAGAACTGGATCCACCCTCTGTTAACTTTTGTATATTATAAAATTGCTCATAAGGTATCCATTCTATAATTTGAGTTGGAAGAGATGAAAGCTGTTGACATTTTTGAATAAAGCTATCAATTATCTCATTTCCAGATGTCCAAGTGCTGAAAAGGCTCTGCAAATGTAGACTAATACACTTTTCACAATATTTATCAGAGTATCTTGTTGTTTTACAATTATTGCATTCTCTTGGTTTACCATATTTATTAGTTGCATTGTTTAATTCGAAATTATAAACAAACCTTTCTCTACA